CCCTCCTCTTAAAGCCACCTTCCTAGGGTATTTGGTTATTAGAACACACATCAGGCACCATATACTGTATCAACGGCACTGGTATTGCCCCATTGTAGTTGAGATAACCATATGCACCATATTGGTCATAACTATATACAGTATGTGTCCCTTATCTAGGACCATTCACAGTTAAGTCTCCATATGATACATACCATCAGTGTCCCAACTATAAATACTAACACCTCTCACAAGAACAGTTGTAATGATAGTTCATTATTTAATCCTAAAGGAGACATGGTATTGAGTAGAAATATTCATCCCGACTATTTTTGTAGAAGAACTTTATCCTTGTCACTTGATGGCTAGGATGGTCCCCTCTTCTATCCGGCAGAGTTAATTGGTATAAAGCAGCACATTTATACCTCTCAGGGAGGATTTTTGACATTCCTCAAAATGAACTGCTAATTGCGACTGATCATCCTTGCCAGTTATACTGGCCAGGTGTTCTCTTATTCTTCGTCTATGTTCTCTACGTGTCTTACCTATATATATTTTTGGGCAAAGGCATATTATTCTATAAATCAACCATGAGGATGAACAATTAAGAAAACTGTTTATAAAACACATCTATCTGTCCTGTGAATCTTGAAATTCCTTTATTTTGTCTACAAATTGAATACTGAATAATGTCCACATGCAAACATTCCTTTTAGGGGAGGCTTAATATACATTGGCTCTCGTATACTACTCCTAGACTCTGTACACCAAAGCATCTCCAATTGTGGGTACCTTTTTCACTATCATCCAGGGACTATTCCCCAGTATTTTTTCCAACCTTACATCTAGCATTATGTGCCAATGTTTATGCAGCAGTGACTATAAATGATGCCAATGTATACCATACCTGGTAACCAACCCAACTCCTTCAATTTTTTTTGATTCTTGTTTATTACCTTTTTTTATGTAGTATTTCTATCCTGTTCTGTTGTAATACCTGAATCCTATTCTTATCTAGGACTGATATTGGGTACCCCCTCTTCCTGAATCTCTCCTTTAAACCCAAACTTTCTAGATGATAATCCTCAATATTAGAGCAGTTTCTCCTACTTCTTAAAAACTACCCGTATGGAATACTTTTAATTAACCGCCTCCCACCATATAAGGAAATGTTGGAAAGGCAACGGTTCTCTCGTTCTGGGAGGACATCACATGATGTCCTCCCACTCTAGCTTCACATGCATGCCCCCAGATGAACGCAGCGATCGGTGGGACAGGGACACAGTAGATCACCAATCACTGTAAAGAGCCGATGATGTAGGCTCTATCATGTGATCAGCTGTGTCCAATCACAGCTGATTGCATGTAAATAGGAAATGCTGGTTATCGGCAGTCCTCTCCTCATGCTGACAGTGCGTTATAAGCGGCATTCCTCAGAGGGGACATCTAAACTGATCATCTGGGCACTGATCATCAGTGCCCTGATTATCAGTGTAGCCCCATCAGTGCCACCTGTCAGTGCCCATAATTGCCACCTGTCAGTGCCCATCAATGCCACATACCAGTGCCCGTCAGTGAACATCAATGCCACATACCAATGCACATCAATATCACATATCAGTGCCAACTATCAGTGCCAGTCAGTGCTGCCTAACAGTTCCAATCAGTGCCACCTATCAGTGCTCATCAGTGCCGCCTATCAATGCCATATATGAGTACTGCCTTTCAGTGCCCATCAGTGATGCCTGTTAATGCCCACCAGTGATGCTGTCAATGCCCATCAGTGCCGCTTATCAGTGCCTCCTCATCAGTGCAGCCTATCAGTGCCCATCACTGAAGCCTCATTAGTGCACATCAGTGAAGGAGAAAAATTATTTATTTAAAACATTTTATAACAGAAACTAAGAAAAAACTTTTTCTTTTCAAAATTTTCAGTCTTTTTTAGTTTGTTAAAAATATAAAACCCAGTGGTGATTAAATACTGCCAAAAGAAAGCTCTATCTGTCTCAAAAAAAAGAAAAAAAATTTTTTGGGTACACTGTTTCATGATCACGCTTTTCATTCAAAGTGCGACAGCGCTGGAAGCTGAAAATTGGCCTGGGAAGGAAGGGGGTAAAAGTGTCCAGTAGGCATGGGTGATGGCTGGAGGCATGGAGCAGAGTGTTCCCCGCTGTTGGTTTTCTGGATGTGGGGCTCTCAATTCTGTCTCCAACTTTTTTCAGTTTTAAGTCTAGGAATTGCATTTCCAGTTGATTATTATTATTTAATTCAGCTAGAACAGGTGAAACTCCTCCACTGAGCCTCTTTACACCACCAGCACATCGTCCATGTAGCGGACCCACATCACTACACATTCCTGATACCTGGGTAGTTGTAGACAATTTCTCTCTTCCACCACCTCAAATGTAAGCACGCATATGAGGGTGTACATGCTGAACCCATTGCAACACCCCTTGTCTGGCAGTAGAACCTATTATCAAATATAAAAAGGTTATGTAATGCAACATATTTTGCCAAATGCTACTAAAAAATCATTATGTGGGACAGACAAGGGGTGCCTCACTTCCAACCATTCTGCCACAGCCTGTACACCCACATGGTGGGGGATTGACGTGTGTTAAGATTCCATGTATTCCAATGTTTGCAGCTCACTTGGTGAGTGAGCAAGTGTACCAACAACAACAATGCTGCTGGGTATTGTGAGTCCAAGTAAGTAAGGAGGGGGATCACAATAATGATAGATAAACTCAAGCCCCTAATGTTTTACAATCAACAAAACTCAATGCATTTCAGAGCATGCATTGTTCCCTTTTCAGGAGTTCTCTCATAGGACCAATATTCATGCAATAAACCCACACAAAAATTGTCATTGGAGAAGCACCCCTGCTCAGATATGACCAACAATAATTACAGAACCAGCAATATTATTATGCATAGCAGTGTAAAACCTTATCTCCCAATATATTCATATGCCTATCTCAAAAAAAAAAAAAAAAAGATCCCTCAAAATTCCAAATTAATTACAATATTGCAGACCCATTATCTTTTGAATCAATCACATAGAACAATTGATATGCATAATATACTAAATATGATTTGGGAATACCAGCTATGATCATCACTTCTCATAATGTACAGGGTCTGTATATCCTTCTTGTGGGAAGCAAATTGAGGGACTGTTTGCATATTTATACTTGTTACATTTTTTTCTCAGTTTGGGGCCTTTGTGAAGGAGCACACCACTTCAAACCAACATGGAATTGTGTACCACATAGTTTATATCAGTTTATATAATGGGTCTGTAATTTTCATAGGAGACAATGAATGAAGGAGAGAGCAGGCAGACCCCCTTCTTGACAAGAAGAGAAAGTGTACAAATTAACTGACTTAATATAAAGTATATTTTTTCAGCCACAAAATTCAGAGTTAGGAAATGAGAATGCTGGTTTCTTTTTAAAGAACCACTGTTAGGCCACTGTCAGGTACTGGATCACCTGCTGGTGGCAATGTGGCTCCTGAATCTGAGGTGTAGCTCCAGTGTCCACCAGTGAGTGTCTCCCAGTAGCCAGCAGATCCCAGCAATTATTCCTCGCCTGATACTGGTTGCTGGGAGGGTATTTAGACCCTCCTCTAGCTTTCTATAATGTCTCACCATTTTGTCTGTGTGCCCATGTGCCCACTTGCTGGTAACTAGAGATGAGCGAATTATTCAAAAATTCGGTTCGGCTGATTCGCCGAATTCGCCGAATAAATTCGCTTCGAGCCGAATATATTCGCTGCGAATTTAACTTATAAAAAGGGTGTTTCTAGGCTTCAGAGAGCCTTTATATTAGTGCAGAACACTGTACCTTTAATTTAAATGCCCTTGGAGTCTGCTGGGGAAGAGAAATAATACTGTCAGTCAGTATGACATGCAGATGAGTGCCGTCGATCTTAGAATCACCGCACACTTCACTCATTTGGGCAGTCACGGGGCCAAAACCAGAGTGTGGAGCCACAGTGTGGCGGTGGAGGCAGCAGCAATGGGAGGCCATACAGCACCCTATGACAAAATGGAACCCACCAGCAGTGTGAGGAGACCTGAAAGTGGCACATGGCAGAGTGTGGCGATGGAGACAGCAGCAATGGGAGGCCGTACAGGGACCCATGACACACTCTGGACCTGGCAGCAGCATGAGGAGGCGGTACAGGGGCCCATGACAGATTACGGGCCTGGCAGCAGCATGAGGAGTCGGTACGGGGGCCCATGGCAGATTACGGGCCTGGCAGCAGCATGAGGAGGCGGTACAGGGGCCCATGGCAGAGTGGCGGAGCGTAAGCAGCTAAAATTGAAGGCCATACAGAGGCCTATGTTAAAAAGTCCCCCCAGCAGCAGCGTGGGGAGACGACTATCAAGAGTCCAATGGCAGAGTGGCGGAGCAGAAGCAGCTTCAATTGAAGGCCATACACAGGCCTAGGTTTAAAAGTCCCTCACAGTTAATTCCAATAACAAACTCTACTCCTCCGTGCAATCTACTTACGAGACCCTGGGCAGGTCTGGGTCCAATTTGTGGTAGAGACTGGTTTTGTTCAGCCATTCTTGAGCGAGTAATAACAGGTCTGTGCTGCCCTTTGGTGTCTGGCTTAATGCGCACAACACTGAACGTCCCAGCGTTTGACAACGATTTGCCGTTATGTGATGCAAACCCGCTGAACCACGTTCATGAGGAGCCGGTACAGGGGGCCATGAATCAGTATGGACCTGGCAGCAGCGTGAGCAGACGACAGAGGCACATGGCGCAGGGTGGCGGTGTAGGCAGCATTATTCTGAAGCCATACACAGGCCTAGGTTAAAAAGCGGAAACCGTCAGCAGCGTGAGCAGACGACAGAGACACATGGCGCAGGGTGGCGGTGGATGCAGCAGTATTCGGAAGCCAAACACAGGCCTCGGTTAAAAAGCGGAAGCCGTCAGCAGCGTGAGCAGATGACAGAGGCACATGACGCAGGGTGGCGGTGGAGGCAGCAGCAATGGAAGGCCATACAGCACCCTATCACAAAATGGAACCCACCAACAGTGTAAGGAGACCTGAAAGTGGCACATGGCAGAGTCTGGCGATGAAGTCAGCAGCAATGGGAGGCCGTACAGGGACCCATGACACACTCTGGACCTGGCAGCAGCAAGAGGAGGCGGTACAGGGGCCCATGGCAGAGTGGCGAAGCGTAAGCAGCTTAAATTGAAGGCCATACAGAGGCCTATGTTAAAAAGTCCCCCCAGCAGCAGTGTGGGGAGACGACTTTCAAGAGTCCAATGGCAGAGTGGCGGAGCAGAAGCAGCTTCAATTGAAGGCCATACACAGGCCTAGGTTAAAAAGTCCCCCCAGCAGCAGCGTGGGGAGACGACTATCAAAAGTCCAATGGCAGAGTGGCGGAGCGGAAGCAGCTTCAATTGAAGGCCATACACAGGCCTAGGTTAAAAAGTCCCCCCAGCAGCAGTGTGGGGAGACGACTATCAAGAGTCCAATGGCTGAGTGGCGATCCGGGAAGTCAGCGTTGTGATTGCAGATGCAATGCAGAGATTCTATGAGGTGATGCCGTGGGTGCGAAGAAGATCATATACCGTCGTACTTCCATCCATAAGACGGAACAACCTGCGAACCGGGAGCTTTATTGCCCTGACCCGCTGAGCAGCTTCTGGGATACCCAAGAGTTTGGCTTCTGTGGGGAATATGGTTGAAAACTGAAACTTAAAGGCATGTTGACGGAAGGGCACCAGTGTCAGTGCTCCGGAGGGAATATAGCTTCAAAGCTGACACTTAAAGGTATATCGACGGTCAGAGACCACAGGAAGTGGAGCTTGCGTCTTAAATCGACTGAATGTGGCAGACGTGAAAGGTCTACGGGCCGTATATGAAACGGGTTGTTCCTCTTTCTGGAATAAGTGTTGGAAATGGCCACTCTTTTTGGTGTGGCGTTTTGTCTATTTAATTCCGATAACGGACTCTACTCCTCCGTGCAATCTAGTTACGAGACCCTGGGCAGGTCTGGGTCCAATTTGTGGTAGAGACTGGTTTTGTTCAGCCATGCTTGAGCGAGTAATAACAGGTCTGTGCTGCCCTTTGGTGTCTGGCTTAATGCGCACAACACTGAACGTCCCAGCATTTGTCAACGATTTGCCGTTAAGTGATGCAAACCCGCTGAACCACGTTCATGAGGAGCCGGTACAGGGGGCCATGAATCAGTATGGACCTGGCAGCAGTGTGAGGAGACCCGAAAGTGGCACATGGCGCAGGGTGGCGGTGGAGGCAGCAGTATTCGGAAGACATACACAGGACTAGTTTAAAAAGCGGAAGCCGTCAGCAGCGTGAGCAGACGACAGAGGCACATGGCGCAGGGTGGCGGTGGAGGCAGCAGTATTTGGAAGCCATACACAGGCCTAGGTTAAAAACGGAAGCCGTCAGCAGCGTGAGCAGACGACAGAGGCACATGGCGCAGGGTGGCGGTGGAGGCAGCAGTATTCGGAAGCCATACACAGGCCTAGGTTTAAAACTGGAACCCAGCAGCGTGAGCAGACGACAAAGACGCACATTATTATTATTTATTATTATTATACAGTATTTATAAAGCGCCAATAGTTTGCTCAGCGCTGTACATTACAAAAGGGAGACAGAACATGTGACAGAACAATACCAATACAATGCAAAACATGAGGGGATCAAGGGCCCTGCTCTTTCGAGCTTACAATCTAGGAGGGAGGGGGTGGTGGCACAGGAGGAGATAGCTGTGGGGGATGGAGTGGTAGGAAGAGTGGAGGAGGTCGGCAAGTTAGCAGGGGGTGGGGTAGGCTTCCCTGAAGAGATGGGTTTTCAGGGTGCGCCTAAAGGAGAGGAGAGTAGGTGATAATCTGATGGGTTGGGGCAGGGAGTTCCAGAGGATGGGTGACACCCTGGAGAAGTCCTGGAGGCGGGCATGGGAGGAGGAGACCAGGGAACTAGAGAGAAGGAGGTCTTGTGAGGAGCGGAGTGTGCGTGCTGGGCGGTACTTGGATATTAGGTCAGTGATGTAGTTCGGGGCAGTATGGTGGACAGCTTTGTACGTCAGCGTTAGGATTTTGAATTTGATCCGTTGCGCAATCGGAAGCCAGTGGAGGGATTGGCAGAGGGGGGTGGCGGAGACAGTGCGGTTGGAAAGGTGAATGAGTCTGGCAGCCGTGTTCAGGATGGACTGAAGAGGGGATAGCCAGCGGCGAGGCAGGCCAGTGAGGAGGGAGTTGCAGTAGTCGAGTCGTGATATGATGAGGGAGTGGATGAGCTGTTTAGTGGTTTCTGGGGTTAGGAACGTGCGGATTTTGGCGATGTTGCGGAGGTGGAGTCTGCACGAGTTTGTTAAAGATTGGACTTGGGGCTGGAAGGATAGGTTGGAGTCCAGAATGACACCCAGTACTCTGGCCTGCAGGGCGGGTTTGATGGTAGCGTTGTTGGATGTGATGGAGAAAATCAATGGGGGGTGGTGTCCGGGCTGGGGGGAAGACAAGAAACTCGGTTTTGGAGAGGTTCAATTTAAGGAAGTGGAGCGACATCCAGTCTGATATGTCGCTCAGTAGGTGTGTGATTCGGGCTGAGACCAGGGGGTGAGGTGGGGGGTTGAGAGATAGATTTGTGTGTCGTCGGCATAGAGGTGGTAGTTGAAGCCGTGAGAGTGTATGAGTTGGCCAAGGGAGGAGGTATAGATGGAGAAGAGAAGGGGCCCGAGGACAGAGCCTTGAGGGACCCCAACAGAGAGGGGGAGTGAGGGGGAGGTGGTAGCATTATAGGTAACGCTGAAGGAGCGTTGTGACAGGTAGGATGAGAGCCAGGAGAGAACAGAATCTCTGAGGCCGAGGGAGTGTAGTTTTTTGAGGAGAAGGGGGGTGGTCGACTGTGTCGAAGGCCGCAGAGAGGTCAAGGAGTAGGAGCACTGAATAGTGGCCATTAGCTTTGGCGGTTAGCAGGTCGTTGGAGAGTTTGAGTAAGGCAGTTTCGGTGGAGTGTAGGGGACGGAAGCCGGACTGTAGGGGATCGAGGAGGTTGTTGTCGTTGAGGTGAGAGCATAGGCGGGTGTAGACTAGGCGCTTGAGGAGTTTAGATGTAAATGGGAGCAGGGAGATGGGTCTGAGGTTGTTCGGGTCATTGGGGTCCAGGGAGGGCTTTTTAAGTATGGGGGTGATGTGTGCATGTTTCAGAGGGGAGGGGAAAGTGCCTGAGGAGAGGGAGAGATTGAAGATGTGGGTGAGGGGAGCGTAGGATGGAGGAGGAGGAAGGTCGTAGGAGTTGTGAGGGGATAGGGTCGAGGGGGCAGGTGGTGAGGCAGGCACATGGCAGAGGATGGATCTGGCAGCAGTATGAGAAGGCGGTACAGGGGCCCGTGGCACAGTGTGGTGATGGGGGCTACAGCAACTGGATGCCAGAAAGTGGCCGATAGGGCTATATACTGCATGGAATTATAAAGTTGTAAAGACAGCGGCCTATAAGGCTATACACACTATAACAATCATGACTTGATTGACCATTGGCCTATAAGGCTATATACACAGCATGAATATCATGACTTATTCTGAGAGTGGTTTGGAAGGCTATATACAAAAAGTAATTCATGAGCTGTCCGGACAGCGGACAATAAGTACATACAGTTGCAAGAAAAAGTATGTGAACCCCTTGGGATTATGTGGAGTTTTGCATGAATTGGGCATAAAATGTGCTCTGAACGTCATCTAAGTCACAACAATAGAAGAACACAGTCTGCTGAACATAATACTACACAAACATTAGATGTTGCCATGGTTTAATTGCACATAACATGTAAACATTCACAGTGCAGGGAGGAAAAAGTATGTGAACCTTTGGACTTAATAACTGGTTGACCTTCCTTTGGCAGCAATAACCTCAACCAAACGTTTTCTGTAGTTGCAGATCAGACCTGCACAACGATCTGGAGTAATTTTGGACCACTCCTCTTCACAAAACTATTTCAGTGTAGCAAT